CAAACTCAACTTCAACAGTCCATGGCAGCAGCATTTCCAGCCCCATACTTCCCAAGGTACAACTGACCAAGATGAAACCACCAAAAACCAAAAGAACCTCAAGAAGTATGTGTGCCATCCCATCCCTCAAGAAGACTGAGTTCAGCAAACAAACATCACAATGGAGTATGCTATTCGAAAATGGCAGCACTGGAGATCATGATTTGCCAACAGCAGCTTTGGGTGGCTCTCCAATGAAGTAGTCTAGCCAACCCCAGTGATGCCACTGCCCAGCCCTAGAGAACAAAAAATCAGAGCCTAAACACCACTGACCAGCTGGTTCATGCCACAGAAAACCATTCCACGTACCTGGTTGTGTCCTATTCCTCTTAACAATACCATTACAGCTTCATGAACAAACCACAGAAACTGGGCAGTCCAAGACGAAGTCGTGCAAGCAAAGAAATGAAGAACATGGTCACAAAGCAAATTCATGATGCACGATCAGTTTGTATCTCCATTACAGTCCCCATTTGATTAGTATTACCCTCAAACAGCCAACCAAACACCAGCCCAGGCAATAAAGGCTAGACCACTAGCAAAACCGCACAGGTACACTAGAACGTGAACACTAACTCGAGCAACCAAATCAAAGAGACCAAAATCAAGTTGTTTGAATTAGGATTCCAACACCAGACGTTGAATGGCCCTTGAATCACGAACACAATACCAGAAAATGGGATTGAAAACGAGCAAAAAGCATGGGTAAACCTGGACTTGAAGAACTCGCTCTGAACAGTGACTCCGAGTCCAAAATTTTTGCTCAATTCGCAGCTTCCTTCAACTGGTTTGGAAAACCAATTTCAGGTGTTTAAAGAGCATCCCAAGTCGCCCATAATCCCCCAAAAAGTGGCCTTCTAACGAGCTTGGACCGAGGTGAATTGAACCTTCAAGAGTCGCATATGAACAGTAACTCGAGAAGGTTGACCTGCGATTCTTGCTCAATCCAGCGCCGAAAATGTCAAATTGAGCTGAAGAATGGATTGCCATGCCCAAAACGATTCTAGAGCTCTAAGAATCGGTCCAAAAATTCAACAAATTCAAGGTGAAAGCAAGGGTTTAAGATCGGCAGTGAACAGTAACTCAGGGAGACTGTCCAGCAATCCAAAACATGTGATAGATGCAGAGTTGTGATGTGGAAGAAGATGACGGAAATTATCCCTATTGGAGAAGATAGACCTAATTGCGAAATTGGGGCACATAGGCGGGCAATGAAAAATTGGAGGGATTCTAAAATTTGAGATGAGCATGAAAATTTTTAGAAACAGCAATTTGATTTTTGAAACAAAAAAGTTTTTTGATCCATAAATATTTCACTCTTATGTAACACTTTCATGATAGTACATGATGTGTTTCCAAAAAATAAGTAGTCAAAATAATAAATTAGTTGTAAATTTTTATGTTGATTGAATTTTTTACTCACATGGAGTCAATTCCACAAGATACCCATATTTAAAGATTAGATTCGACAAATAGGACACAACGTAGAAGAGTAAATAGATCTTTTTGAAGATTTGATCTGGTCTTATTAGACATGAATTTGATTTGATCCAATTATATCTGTTTTGTCCAATTTGATCTGATTAGGTCCGATCTGATGCTTTTAAAGATTATAACAAGCAATAAGGACACAACCTATATAAGTAAATAGGTTTGCTATGAAAGTTTGATTTGATCTTATTAGATTCGAAAGTTTTGGTCTAATTTGATCAAATTAGGTCCGATCCAATGCATTTAAAGATTAGATCAGGTAAATAGGACACAACGTATACAAATAAATATATCTTTTTAAAGATTTGATCTGATCTGATGGATTTGAATTTGATTTGATCCGATTAGATCGATTCTGGTATAATTTGATCTAATTAGGTTCGATCTGATGCATTTAAAGATTATATCAGGCAATTAGGATACAACTTATACAAGTAAATAGATCTTCTTTGAAGATTTGATCTGATCTTATTATATTTGAATTTCATTTGATCAGATTAGATCTGTTTTGGTTCAATTCAATCTAATTAGGTCCGATCTGATCCTTTTAAAGATTACATTAGGAAAATAGGACACAATCTATATATATAAAAATTTAGATTTTCTTGGAAGATTTGATCTGATCTTATTGGTTCTGAATTTGATTTGATCCGATTAGATCTATTTTTGTCCAATTTGATCTTAATCGAACTGTTTTCATAATAGTATAGGATGGGTTTCCAAAAAATAAATAGTGAAAATACCTAATCGTTACCACTATAATAATAAAATAATAAATTAGTTATACATTTTTTGTTAATTGAATTTCTTACTCACATGGATCCAATTCCACAAGATACCCATATTTTTGACCGTATAACATCATACCGGTACTGATAACTAAACTAGTTACTTGCATAGTCCAGTTTGGCTAATCAAATCTTTAAATTCATCAGATCGGATATAATTAGATCGAATCAGACCAAACATATATAAGCGAATAATATCAAATTCAAATCCAATAAGATCAAATCAAATCTTAAAAATATCTTTTTACTTGTACAATTTGTGTCATATTTGCCTGATCTAATCCTTAAATGCATGAAATCTGATCTAATTAGATCGAATCAGACAAAAACAGATATAATCGGATCAAATCCTATGCATTTAAGGATTAAATCATGCAAATATGACACGACCTATACAATTAAATTGATTGTTTTAATATTTGATCTGATCTTACTAGATTTGAATTTGATTTGATTCGATATTTTTGAAGATTTGATCTGATCTTATTGGATTTGACTTTTATTTATTCCGATTAGATCTATTTTTGTCCGATTTGATCTAATTAGTCCGAATAGTTTTATTTAAAACTCTTTTAATTTGATCTAGTCTAATCTGATATGATGAGATCTCATTTCATTACATATCATCTAAACAACATATAAACATAATAAATTGAGATGCACTGGCTCACATGAAAAATACAAGCAATAAGATCTGATTGAATTTGTATTGATCTTATCTTATCTTAGAAGAATTGGATCTTTGCAAGTAATCAGTTCAGTTATTAGTACCGGTAAGATCTTATGTGGTCAAAAGTAGGGAGAAAGACCAAAGTAGGACTAAAACATTGAAAATATACCAAAATAGGACTTCCATGTTTTTATTCCTGAAATAGGACTTACATTACCAAACATGGTCATATAAATTACCAAGAAAGTATAGTAATTTGTACATGTACACTGCCACATTACCACAATGCAAAGTCACATTACCACAGTGCAAAGTCCTATTCCGAAAAAAAACATGAAAGTCCTATTTTGATACTTTTCTCTATGTTTTAGTCCTATTTAGGATGATTTCTATAAAAAGTATGAGTATCCTAAGGAATTAGATCAGTGTGAGTAACAAGTTTAGTTATCAATACTTGTAAGATCTTATACGATCAAAAATATGAGTATTTAGAAGAATTGTTTCTGCAGAATTACCTTGTTCTGTTATCAGTACTAGTAAGATCTTATATGGTCAAAAGTATGAGTATCCTAAGGAATTGTAAGTATAATATTTATTTTCTATTTATTAATTACCAATTATGTTTTTAAATAAAATTATTTTAAAAAAGATGGTATTTTACACGTCCTCCAAAATGTCCCAATTAATTTGGAATGGAGGGAGTACATGTAAAAAAATCATTATCACATACTAGTCAAAATCGGAGTTACATATTTTTATTTACAAAACCAGAGTTACAATGCCAATAATCTCAACACATAATACCAAAAAATACTCTATAATGTCAATATAAAATGTCACAATAAAATTTTTTATTTTGAAATTAAAAACATTAATATTCTATTTTAGTACATTCTCTCTTTTTTACTTCTATTTTGAGTGATATCAGTTTAAAAAATTACTAATTTTTTTGAAATAAAAAATACAGAGTAAAAAAGTTAAACTAATTAAAGATAAAATCTAAAAAATTGAAACTTAGCAGGGTATAGGGGACGAAAAAACTGAGGGAAGATAAAAGTTTTGACAAAAGAAGGAGAGGAAAAAAAATTCGGTAAAGGAGAGGGAAAAAATTTGGCAAAGGAGAGGGAAAATATTAGGTTAAAAATTTTAAGTCCACACAATACACAATGCAAAGTTGAGCCGCAGATAAGGAGTAGATGAGAGTTTCTCTCTCTAGGGCGTAAGAACACTGGTTAGTAACTAGAATTACTGTTCACTGCCTTCTTCCCTTCGATTCTTCCATTTTTTTAGCTCTTCTTTGCACAGTTTTTGGAACCCTGGGTAGATATGACACTTGCGCAAGTGAATATGCACTCAATTTGGGATTTGCGCAGATGGTTTTTGCTAAATTTGAGGTCAACGCGATGTTCGTCACTATTCATCTTCGGCCATGGTTTGCAGATTTGAACACATCTAAATGCATTTGAAGGGGTTTCTTTTGGGTTTTTGCTTGTTTTTGTTATCTTATCCACGGTATGATGATTGATTCCAATTCCTTTTGATTTATCTTGCGATTTGAGGCATTTTTGGGTTGCAAAATCACTGTTCCTCTCGATTTGGTGTTCTTCACCATCTATATACATTTTATGTTCACAATGTTTCATTTAATATCAATGATGTGTGAAAAATGAAGAGAAAGTGACAAAATTGTGTATGGGGTCTGACTGGGTGTAATTGTACACCTTGGAGAGGACTCCCTACTCTTCTTCTTCCCAAGCCCCCCATCCCCCCTCCCCTACAGATTTTTCTTAGGAATCTGATCAGAAAGACGAAGTAACAATTTGGAGCAGCAAAGAAACAATCGGAAGTAGAGAGTAACATACTCCTTTAGAAAATCAGAAGAAACAAGTGCATTACGGAGTATGTATTTTGTGCTTTATTTGTGAGACTGTGTTTTCTAAAGGATCTGAAATTTCTAAATGAATTTGAAATTTCTTTTGTTGGACCAGAACTACCTCGCACTTCATTCTTTATAGACATAGGAATGAATTAATTGTACATTTCACATACTTTTTATTTAAAATTCATTTTTTGTGTTTTTTTAATTAGTTTTAGTTGTACGATTAAATAATCTATTATTTTCATAGATGTCATTTCAAAAGAAGGCAAAGAGGGGGGGGGAGTCATTGTCTATCTGTCAGCTTCTGACTATTTATAGAATTGGGGGAGGTGTCAAATAAACTCATTGTTGCTAACAATCCAACACACTTCTTGTGATAGCCTATGGCATTCACTTCTCCACTTTAACCTTTTTGAGCGATGTCTTTCCATGTTTTTTTAAAAACCCGTTTTCCATGTTTTGTTATGCATCAAACACAGTTGATATGTGATATTTCCTTATCGTGACAAAAATCTA